TTTTCACGTGATAAGCCGCATCGTGAGCTATCAGTGGGCCTTGCTTGGTAACATAAGACAAATTGTTTATAGTTTCGTTTTTTTTGTACGGCCAGCTCACATGCAAAAAAAACAACGGTAACTCTGACATTGCTGATTTATCACGGCTCACAAAACTCACCACAGGGCCGAATGGGTGGCCAGTGGGGGGAGTTGGTGAGGGTGGTCGAGGGGGGAGAGACTGTGCAGGGTTGACGGTGAAGGTGGTCGGGGTGGGGGTGGCGGTGGGTGGTCAATGGGGGGTGAGGTGAGGGTGGGGGCGTGTGGGTGGCCGGTGGGGGTGAGGGTGGGGGCAAGTGGGTGGCCAGTGGTGGGTGGGGGTGGGGGGGCGAGTGGGTGGCCAGTCGGGAGTGGGGCATAAGAGTGGAGGGTGAGTGGGTGGCCAGTGTGGGTGGGGGTGTGGGTGAGTGGGTGGCCAGTGGGGGGTAAGGGGTGATGGTGGGGGGGGGGCGGATGGGTGGGTGGCAACCGGGAGGGTGACTGGTGGTAGGTGATGGTGGGGGGTGACCAGTCGGGGTGGGGGCTAGTGGGTGGTCAGTGGGGGCTAGTGGGGCCTAGTGGGGGGTGGGGGCTAGTGGGGGTGGGGGCTAGCCCGTGGCCGGTAGGTGTAAGTGGGTGGTCAGTGGTGGGTGGGGGCTAGTGGGGGGTGGGGCTAGCAGGTGGTCGGTGGGGGTTAGTGGGTGGCAAGTGGGGGTTGCGGGTAGTGGGTAGCGAGTGGCCAGGTGGGGGTTAAGGCCGCTTGGGGGAATGGGGAGTGGGCCACTGCATACTCTTGATCTTGAACATTTGTAGATGATGATTATCTAGAAGATGACGAGAAGGAAAACTAAGGAAAGAGACACCACGACTGCAGTAGTGACTCGACTGTGGAGGGTCGGCTGCGATGCTGAAGCCTCAGGTGCAGACGAGGTGTGGAAGAGAAGCCTTGGCACGCTTTTCATCTGAGATTGAGAAGCGTCGCTGGGCTCTGAAAGACGAAACAAAAATCGGGAACGCAAATAAATCCAAACGAGGCTCTCTGCATTTTGCACACCGAATGGCAATATCATGTGCCATAGAATCAGGACCGGATTAACCAATGGGCTAATAGGGCCTTAGGCCCTCATATTTTGGAGGCCCTCCTTATAGGCCCTCCTCCATTCCACATTGAAGTAACAGCTGAGCGATGGGTAGCATTGCCAGCAGAAATGGTTTGTCTTTGAATTACGATTATATCATTCGTGACTTTGAATTACGATAACATAATTCGCGACCTTGAATCATGATGACATCATTCGTGACCTTGACGTATGATGGTGTTTGAAGAAATGAGTTCAGTGAGTGATTCAATCTTTAATTATTTTCCCTTGAGTCGAATTAATGTGTTAATTTACATCGAAATTAAGTAAGTATTTTTGAAAATTGTTTTTTTTTGCAATATATACTCAACATACCTAGACACTTACCTCCCATTAGCCCTAGGCCCCTTATAACCTTAATCTGGCCCTGTATTGTAAAGCATAACGGAAATACCGATCCTATAGTCACAATTGCACTGATTGCTGTCTACAAGTGACCTGTTGTGACTCGAGTAAACCAGAATTGGGGTTAATCATCCGACTGGAACACTGTGGACTAATTGACCTGGACAATCATCTTAATTAGTGCTATGCTGGTCATGTACGGAATATTTGAGAGGTTCTTTCCAACACTGGTTCATGTAAGACGCTATCCTACGAACAGTGTTACAATAATTCGTAATCATATTCACCATTGAATTAAACAAATATAGTTTATAGTCTCTTTCATGCAAACTACATCTCACAATATCGCCGATACAAACATTTCCACAAACCACCCTGGTCCCCACCCCTGGTGACACAACACATTCACTTCTCTACAACACATTCACTTCTCTACAACACGATTCGTAATATAACTCGTGTTTAAACGCAGCTATGAGGTTTTATTTTAGCATTGGCATTTACTGTTACTAATATTGTTATGGTACCAGGTAAGGCCCAAACAAGCAGTGTTACTCTTTTTCAGGAGCGACCTGGCCATCACAAATGATAGCTCAACGAAGTTGCTTATCAAGTGGAAATTTACAGCAGTCAAATACACGAAATAGAGTAGTTTAATGAAGGTAATTTACCTAAATTCATTTTAAAATTAATTATCAGTAAAATATCCATTAATGTCCAAAACAAAATGTGTCCATGTTGTCATGTTTCCAGATAAACTTGCAATTGCAGTTTTGAGTCTTTCGATAGTGTTGAGTCTATGGTGTAGTGTTAAGTCTATGGGCAGTGTTGAGTCTATGGAGCAGTGTTGAGTCTATGGACAGTGTTGAGTCTATCGGCAGTTTTACATCTATGGTAAGTGTTAAGTCTAGGGGGAGTCAGAATAAAAATCTGTATTTTATACAGGAGGAGGAATTCGATTAGCTATTAAGCTCTTTTTCACATATATCAAGTAGAGGCGAGTCAGCAAATTACAAAAAAAAAACACGATACTAGTGCAAAATAGATAAAGGTAAGAAAGACACTAAAAGTAAATAAACAACTATAAATAAAGTATGTATGTAGAAATTCCATAAGGATATATATATCCTTGTTGATTTTTCAACACCAAATTCAAGCTTGGGGCAAGGCAGCAAAACAAAAACAACAAGAACAACAGTCTCAGACCACACCAAACCAACACATAATTCCTCAATTAAATTGTGCATTCATTATAAAGGTTTCAAATTGTAAATGCTGTGGGTTTGCTCTCCAACACCGGTGTGCTGAAGTAGTAACTAATTGGCATGTTTTGTTTACGTGTCAGACCTTACTTATTGGCTGTAAGGTTTGGTAGTGGGTTAACGACACATTTACATTCACGCGATCTAACCAAATACAACCGTTCTTATGAATATTGGTCGCAAAAGCCTGCTACGTGTTAAATTAAATGGCACACTAACATTGAACATCATCGGCGATTCATGGGGGATTAGGATGAACGTTACAAATTGAGAGGTTATGACGGCATTACTCGCTCCAGGTGTAACTCATCTGTCTCACCAGCTGAATCCGATAGTGGGCAGGTCTTTGAATCGCCGTTTGGCGTCTCCACCTTCACAGTGTAGGGCCCGATCTCGTCTCCGTCTTGCAAGATCAGGCCCCGAGGCACCTCCCAGTCAATCACGTCCAGTTGGAGACTATCTGTCAGTGACGAACAGGTGATTTGGCCCACCGTAAAGCAGCTTGCCTAGATGAAACAAAAACGCAATAGGATTACTCATAACCTAATACTAACACAGACTCACACGGAAACCTGTACAATCCATTCTCCTGTAACACAGTAGTTGAGTTCCTGAAGAACACCGTGTTATGGGAAAACTCGCGTTATAATAAATTATATTAAGTAAAGCACAAATCGAAGATAACATGTAAGATTTGTACGTAGGCTGAACAAAGTCTGAGGCGCGTGGGTAGCATATATAAGTGTAATGACAGTAGAGTCAACCTACAGTGCGAGTGGACTAGTGGCACGGGATGTAATGACAGGGGAGTCAGCCTGCAGTGCGAGTGGACTGGTGGCCACGGGAACGACCGAGAATAGGTGCGTGGCCAGATGATGTAAGAGGACAGTGGAGTCAGCCGATAGAACGAGTGGTCTAGGGCCAGCGAGAAGGTTCGGGAATAGGAGTGTGGGCACGGGACGGGGGCGTGGCCACGCACTGTATATAAGGGGAATGCGCGGGAGAGTCAGGGCTGTGCAGTAGGGTCTCCGCCTGTCCGAGGGTGAGAAAGTGACTCCTTCATAAAGAAAACCTTCCGAGGACAAGTGCGTTGAAGTCGTCTTTACATAAGCATCCAGCAGCATCCCGCCTTGTGCGATGCTAGGCCAAGGCAGCCATACTCCCGCGACGTAATTCTGTTCACTTGATCGCGTTATATCCAATTCACGTTATGAAAACATGCAGTGTTATTTGAAAACAGACTATATATCCATGTTGGTGATATTTACAATATGGTCAGTCCTTCCTTAATGTGTGGTGTTCACACTATAGCACGTTTTCGCTATAATGCATTTCTTCCATTAGGAGCAATTTTCATACAACGCGGAACGGACTCTGTGTTAATGCGGTACCATTACCGTTATAACACGGAATGATCCGCGTTATAATGCAAAACGTGCTCTGTTATAACGATGACAGCCCATTCTGTCATAATGCGGAATGCCACTCCTGTTAAAATGCATAACTCGCCCCATTATTATGCAGAATGCGCCCAGTTATAATGCAGAATGTGCCCCAATATAACTCGGTTTATGAGTGGCTGCAGAGTATAATGATACAGTAATGCGAAACGATACAGTAACGCAGTGTCGGCGTAATGCTCAGTTATTCCCGCCATCTCACTGTGTGTGCGTAGTACAGCATATCTCGCCAAAATGTATCGTTACTAAATTACTGATGGGGAAATTGTTTTTGCAACATTTTTCGCCTAGCACGACACTTTTCATGAACGCATCTATCGCGTTAAACGAGGACCTACTGTCCTCATTGGGCCTAACAGCTTTGTGAGTTCATACAGCGTGCTCCATCTCTCATTGGCTCAGAACTGTCACAGGTGAGAAGCTGATGATATAGAGCGTGCGTTCAGAGCTGATTAGTCATCAGGGTGCTTTTGAAAGGGACCAAGAAAAAATTAAATACAAATTAGGGTTCGGTTGGGAGAGCGTGGGGAGGAGAGACGGAGGGGATTGTGTGGAGAGGCAGGGAAAGCTCCAGAAAGGATGAGGAAGTGGATAAAAGGAGCAGAGAGAAAGGGTTCATGGCGCCTGAACGGAGTGATAGCTTGATGCGTTACTACTCGCAGCGCTTAGGATAGAATAAAGGTCCAAGTTCAGGACTTACCTGAGCTAGAACACCTTAACATTAATGTGTCCATATATATGTATGTTGATGTGCCAATGCTTACCATTTCCTCCAGGTCTCTAAAGAGGAAGATTTGTGAAGCACCATGGATGGGACAATTCCAGTGAAGATTGCTTCTTTGTGGTACAGAAAGAGCCGTCCTCGGACTGAATTGTAACGTCAGATCAAATAAATCTGCGAAACATCATCACCCGTGTCACTCTTCTATCGCTACTACTGCCATGGCTATTGTTGCCACGAATGTCACTCACTCACCCACACGCTCACTCAACATTTACTCACCCAATCACTCACCTAACCCACCAACTCACCCTCACACGCACCCACCCTCACCCGATCACTGACTTACCCACACACTTACCCACTCTATATTAGTTTATATATTTAAACGTGTTACATAACATCTTTTTGGGTATCTTTTCTTATCGTTATTGATACTTATTTTATATTTTGTCGTCATAAACACAACGGTGGATAGGCTTTGATTTACAGTAATACCCTAAAATGCAGCAAGTTGGCACAGTAGAGGGCACAGGTGGTGCATCTGCCAGTCATCTCAGTCAGCCAACTAATGGCACTTGGTTTTGTCCCGTGACCTGTCAGCGAGCCTTCGACAGTTCACGTGGCCTTAAAGTGCACCTAACCTTGCACAGGCACCGTGCTCGTGGCGGTGACATCACACACTCATAGATCCACGCACACACAGATAAAAAAAGACAAAGATCCCCAGTATAGCCTTAACATACTGTTGCAGAAGTGCTGTTAGTGAGCACCTATGAAATCCGGAACTACGTTCGACCGTAATTATCTCCACCAATGCCGATGTTTACACACCACACTAGGTACTAATTTGAAGTTGACTCAACCTAGGGGAGGCCCAGGACTGGTTAAAATAATCGTCACTGGTGTTGGCCATGAGCGGAAATCGAACTCGGGTTCATAGCGCAGCGCGCTAACCACTACACTACAACAACCGCCATTCACCACTAAGTGGTGGTGACGTCACCACGACCCTTGTGCCAGGCTATGTGCACCTTGAGGCACGTGTAGTTTCACGGGGCAGACCCAGATGCCACAGGTCGACTGACTGAGACGACTGGCTGATGCACTGTGGTGCCACAGCAACGAAGCCGCTCCGTCGGAGCTGCATCTGCGGCAGTGGTGCTGCAGCAGCGGGGCCGCCCAGCCGGCGCCGTGGTAGCGGCGCCGCCCCCTGTGGTGCCACGGCAGCGAGGCCGCTCCGTCGGAGCCATGCCTACGGCAATGGTGCTGCAACAGCGAAGCCGCTCCGTCGGAGCCATGCCTGCGGCGGGGGTGCTGCAGCAATGAAGCCACCCGGCTTCCGTCGCGGCGCTTCCCCCACCACCCCCCACATGAACAAACACACCCCCCACATAGAGCCCCGAGGGGAGGTCACCTGGCCGACAGGTTTTCACCCGGAAGCCCTCTCATGGGATCAATCTTCACGGTTTCCTGCGGCCAGGGAATTGAGCGACCTCCCCCGAGGCTAGCTCGCACCGCGGCGCCGTGACCTGGATGTTGGTTGCATGGTCACGACGGGGCTGCTCAGCCGCCGCGGATAGAGGGGCACACTCGACACGGGTCAGCAGGTAGGTAGAGGGTGGGGCCGAGTAACGAGCGGTGGGAAAACAGGGCGGCCCTCTGATTGGCAGGACGAATGCGCTTGTTTAAAGAGTAAAAAGGGGACGTCGGAGAGAGCACCGATCCAATTAGAAAGGAGCGGGAAATCCAAGGCTCCTGATTGGACAAGAGGCCAGCGGATTAGCGGCAAGATATCTTTGATGTAAGTAAAATAAAAAGGGCAGGGAAGTTAGGGGCAGGCAGTCGTCTTCTTCTGGGGTCAAGGATCAGAGGAGTCATCGTGCCTGCCACTGGATCGTTCGTGAGACGAGTCACAGCGCAGCCAGGCCCCGTTCCCAGCAAGGACTGCGTGCAGCCTTGCCTTTCCACGGCTTCCTACACCTCGGAGTCGAACCGTGAGTACGTAGGAGAGAGGTGAGATTAAGGGGAATATCCTTAGGGAGAGTGATTGGGGAGGGATGGGACAGATTGAGTCCTAGACCACAGGGAGATAGGTTAGACCTGCCCTGCTGGCCCACACTGACACGGGTAGTTTAGCTTCGTTATTCGTGGAGAATAAATCGCCAGTAGTCAATAGACCTTGTCATGTCGTCCCTGTGAGTGTGGAGATGAGTGCATGGTGCTGTGAGCCTTCTCGTTGTGGTATCCTGTGTTTGCGCACGAGCGTGAATTTTACCTGCGTGTGTGCGCTCGCCGCTGCGTGTAGCTTGTAGTTAACGTGTACACAAGCCATCGTGCACGCGAGATCACCCGTGCCGCCTCTGCTTAACGTGTGTGCGAGATAGACGGGCGGCGTGCACGCGAGATTAACTGTGTAGCTCGTGGTTAGCGTGTGCGAGAGGTGCACGGGCGGAGTACCCGCGAGGTTGTTCATACAGCCCTTTAAACTAGCTCCGAGGCACTTCAAATCGGCTACGCACGTACGAGGACGCCCCTGCCCTCTGACCCCCGACCCCGGGTACCGCGCGTGCGATTAGTGCGCGGCGCCGGGCAGGTAGCCGCATCGAATTTTGGTGCCTGCGGGCGCGTGAGTGTGTGCGACTGCGTACGGCGTGCATAACGTTTAGAGAGGAGCATGTGAATTGATCCCAGGTGGCTAAGCGCCAGCCCCGAATCATGCCCCGAGGGGCCGCAGCGAAAGGGGGGGGGGGGGGGGGGGGGGAGTCGGTGAGCAGTCACCCTCCCCAGGACATGGAAGAGGGGAGCAGATGAGCGAGGAGACGGGGGTCAGCCTCCCCAACAGCACCACCTGTGCCCTCTACTGAACCAACTTGCTGTGCTTTATCCACCCGGCGCTCCACTCGTTGTTGTGAGCGTCACTCCTTTGCCCTCCGTTGCTGTTGGAGGGCGACTGCCTCCAACTGCCCAGTAGCATCCTTCACAAGCCTCCTCCACAAAGGCCGATCTTGACACCGCTGGTACCAGTCATCGGCAAATCCACTCAGCTCCACATCCTCCGGTACCACATCACTCCATCTCTTCTCTAACCCGTGCCGCGCCCGTTTAGCCCCCTCGATCCGGCCGAACAAAAGCTGTTTAGGCATGTGGTGGCTGGGCATGCGGGCTAAATGGCCCAGCCAACACAGCCTTGCCTGCCGGAGGAGCTCACCGATGGGACTTTGTCCAGATCTTTTAAGGATTTGTGAGCTCCTCACACAATCCAGCCTAGTTAAACACAGGATGGATAGTAGGTAGGCCAGCCTAAATGTTTCTAACCAGCGAAGATGTTCCGTTAGGGGGGTCCACGTTTCACAAGCGTATACAAGGGAGGGAATGACTGGTCTGAGAAGACTTGAAGCTTCGTGTGCAGCGACAGACCAGGTAGCATGCACACAGCGTTACGCAACCGATGAAAAGATAATGACGCTCGACTGATTCGAAGTGAGACCTTTGCTGTTAAACTGGAGCCGGTCATGAGCCACACTGCCCAGGTATGGGAAACTCTCTACTCTCTCCACAACCACCCTATCACCAATTGGGAGTTGTGGGGGTGGAGTGTCTGATGGTACAAAATACCCAGGCAGGTGCTTAGTTTTGTTGGGGCTGATGGTAAGGCCTCACCTCTTAGCGGCAAGTTCCAGGTTCAGCAACAGCGTCTCCAACTCCTCCTCTGAGTGAGCAGCCATTACCAGATCATCGGCATACATGGTTGAGCAATAGGGAGCCATCCCTTGACCACACCCAGGCATCGATCACCCTCCCATTGTATCTGTACCAGATGGAAATTCCTCCAATACAGCTATTGAAGGCTTCATGAACTACTTGGTAGAAATATATGTTAAATAATGTGGGAGCCAGAGGAACTCCCTGTCGCACCCAAGGTGTACAGGGAATGGCTCTGACTCCCGGCCACGTAGTGACTCCGAAAGCATGAAGAACAACCCAAAGCCCAGGCCTACTGATGGTATCATAGGCCTTGACCAAGTCAATAAAGCAGAGATGTAGGTCTTGTTGGAATTCCCTACACCTCTGCTGTAGCAGACGGACAGAAAATATGGCATCCATGCAGGACCGCCCTTTCCTGAATCCACATTGAGGCTCTGCAAGCTTAACAAGGCGATGTTGAATAATCCTTGCCAGGACCTTTCCCGGCACACTGATGAGTGAGATGCCCCTTTAGTTGTTACAGTCTGTGTGGTCCCCTTTCTGAAAGAGGGAGACCACCAGGGCATCCTTCCAGTCCTGCGGAACCCATCCAGTGGTCCAGACTGTTGTTATAATGTCATGTAGGGTAGTCTGAGCACAAACGCCACCCTCCCTCAGCATGTCGCTTGGGGGATCATCTCTGCCCGGTGCCTTTCCTGGTCTTATACTCTGGATCACCCTCAGTACTTCCTCAACAGATGGCACCTCAGCCAGCCACTCGCAGGGGGTGACTTCTTCCAATATTTGAGGCACCGCAGCCTCGGCAGGGTCATCCCCACTTTGTCCCACATTACTATCTAGGCTGAGGGATGTCCCCTCCCCCAGGACCTCACAGAAATGCTCAGCAAATCTGCAAACCTGTTCCTGGGGTTGGAGATTGGATCACCGTTCTTTCCCCTAATGATGGTAATAGATGCGGCGCTGCAGGTAACTTTTTTATGGAATTAAAGAGCGATTTGTGATCGCGGGCCATTGAGGAAGACTCCATCTCTTCAGCAACCCACGACCACCACCCATCCTTGCAGCACCTCACGGCTCTCCAAACCTCCGAGTGAAGCCTCCTCATTCTCCGACGTGGGATGCTGTAGCCGATGAGAATAGGCCTGTCGCTTTTCTCAGCCAGCTTGAACACCTCCTCTGTCAGCCAGGGTCTCTGGGGAGGTCTGGACCGTGTACCCAAAGCAGCCATTGCAGCTGCATGAGCCACAGTCCTAAGCCTCGCTCATTTCCCCTCGACATCAGGAGGAGTGGGGGACGATGCCAACCCCAGCCGCAAGCGATGATTAAATTCTCACTTGCAACTTTCATCAGCTAGCTGAGACAATGCCACTAAGGGTTTTAATGGGGTCCTGGGTGTACACCCACCACTGGAGTAGAAGAATGGCAGGCACTTCTTACAGATGACAAGTCGATGGTCAGTGGGCAGATCAGCTCCATGGTAGG